TAGTCTGGTTGCTCCTAAGACAAACACACATAACTTTAATTAAACGCACACCAAAGGCAGGGGAAACCATCTTGAAACAATTAGCCTGCTCCGTGGCAAGAGGCGGGGGCCAGGGCATCCGCCGACTCCCTCGCTGACTCCCTCGCAGCCACCGGGGCGCGAGAACGGGCGGGCAGCGGGAGCCACGCCTGGACTACACACGGGCCGCAGCTCTCGCTTTCTGCCCAGCTCTGCTCTGTTCGCTTTCGACCCTAAGACACCGCCCTTCCTTGACTCTTTCCTAAATGAATTCCAGTCATTTGATTGCTTCCACTCTTTTTTTTAACTCCTCTTTGATCAGTTTTAGAGGGAGAAAACTTTCAGACAAAGTTCTTATCTATTCCTTAAGGAAATATTACAGCAAGGAAGGAAAATATATAAAGAATTACCAAACCACCCATCTGGTCATTGACCTTGGGCTGGGAGGCTTCTGCAGAATGTCTGCTGAGGGGGCTGCCTTTGCCGCCTCCTTCGTGGGACTTTTGGGTCGTCTGGTATTTAGGTAGTAAAGGCTGCATTATTTTTCTATTTAAATTCCACTGGAAGCTGGGAGAGCCGTGTCTGGCTGTGACATTCACCAGGATAGCTCTTTTCCTCTTGAACCCCGAGTTAATCCACCCCCAGTGATTTTATCCAGGATATTTTGCCAGCAAGGGGAGTGTTTTCTCCATGAGAACCACCCTGGAAGTCCCTCCCACACACTAACCAAAGCCTCCTCTGTGCTCGGGAGAGTGGGAAAGGCCAGCACAACTACGAAAATCACACGAGCCTTGGCCTCAGCAAGCTTACTGGGTTGTAAGGGATTTTAAGTCTATCAGAAAACAAAGAGTTTGCTTAAGCTGTTGAGTCTTTTCTGTTGTTGCTCCTGTCAATGTATGAAAATACATGAAATTCTAAATTACGATCATTGTAGTTCAAAGAGGAGAAACATCACAAAAGGACTGGGAACATCAGAGAGGAAGGCATCCTGGACAGGACAGAGAAGCTGGGCAAACATCTGGACGTCCTCACAAGAGGGGAGGGCAGGGAGCACACAGCCCCCATATCCTGCCGAAGGAAAGCGTGAGGGAACATTGAGCTAAGTAAGGGCAGGGCCAGCAGGGGACCCCTGAATGCTAAAATCACAACTCCAGGTTGTCAGGCAACAGGCAAACACTGCGCTACTGAGCAAACTACAAAATGGGTTATCAGAAAAACTCTAGGAAATAGGCCTCCAGCCTAATTTTGATATGGGAGTGGATGAATCGAAGGGTAAACCCAAACAAGCAGGCAGAGAATGAGGCCAAGGACCATCAAGGACCTAACTTTCAAGTGTGTGAGCTGGCCTTGCCCTTTGGAGACAAATGCAACAAAGCACTGCATATGCAACAAAGCATTGCATATGCACACCAGTCAAATGCCTGGCCAGCGGGGCCAAGAGCTTCAGCCCAAGGGATGTGCTGGGCTGGCCTGCCATGGACTCGGGACCACCCCTAGGAAATCCCCAGTTCCCGTGCTACCAAACCAGTGCAGGTGGGAAGAACAGGAAAGACTGCACAGCCTGAGAAATGCCTTCAAGTGTGAGGGAGACATGTGTACACTTGGGCAGGAACGCACGGATTGGGCTAACTCAAATACACACGTGCAGACCTGCCAAGGGGAGAAGGCCCAAGCCAAGGGACCAACGCTGCCCGGGGCTCACCGTTACAAGGAACCCCTGGCCCTGCGTTATCATCACACGATGCCAGCAACAGCCCCTCCCGTTCTGCAGGCGAAGACCCTTCGATTCAAAAGAAAATATGAGCCAGACAGATTCCATTCTGTAGTGCCTTTAAAAATTAAATTCTTGTGGTTATCAGTTAACAATTTTAACCATCTAAAGGAATATTCCAAGCAGAAAAACTGGTAACAGGTGATTGGTTATGGAAAAATCTAGCACTGAAAATGTAATGATCTTCTTTCTCCTTTTTTCCTATAATTCTGACTTTCTGCCTAAGTGTCATTGAAGGAACTAATGGCAGACCAGCACGTGCAAAGGCAGATGAGTTAACTGGTTCTCGGGTTGCCATAGGCAAAGCTGCACCACAGGGGCCTTCACTTTCTCATCTGTAAGTGGAAGTGGTGATTTTCGTGTAACTGCTGTGTGAACTTTCACTGTTCAAAGAGAGTAAGATGAAGAAGTAATTCCTGCTGCAAGGAGGAACCTCGAAATCATCATGCTCAGTGAAAGGGGCCAAGGACAAAGGGCCCCATATTATATGATTCTCTTTATATGAAACATCCAGAATAGGCACATTCACAGAGACAAAAAGCAGATCCATGGTTGCCAGGGGGCGGGGATGCTGGGGAGGGTCGCTGCTCCGTGGATACAGGGTTTCCTTTGGTATGAAGAAAAATTTCCAGAAGTAGAAAATGACGATGGCTGAACATCACTATCAGTGGGTTTAATGCCACTGAAATGTATACTTGACTATGGGTAAGCTGGTGAATTTTATGTTATATAGATTTTTACCACAATACAAAGAAAAGAGGACAGAAGATAATGCTCTGGCTATGTACTCTAGACATAATAAATACCTTAGTAGCAAAAGGTATCAATTTATTCCGCTGATCACCACCGTGGCTAAGCTGCGCATCTAACTTTTCTATTCTCATTTTAGTGGTTACTGTCTCGGACAAAACCACCATAAACCTTACCTCCCCTTCCTCTGGCACGGCTCCAAGAGGCCACCTGGTGCAGGTGCCAGCAAACCAGGCAGGGGTGGGGGCAGTGGAGCCAAGGAAGCTGTGTGGTGCTGCAAGAAGCCGCCCCAAAGCCCATGTCTACTACCGAAAAGCTCCGGACAGAAGTGTGGCCTCTGCCACTGCCACTCCAATGGCACTGACTCTGCGTGTGTCATTGTGGGAAAAGGCGAACCGCCTCATTCAGCAAATACTTTCTAAGCACCTACAACAGGCCAAGCAGCGGGCCAGACGGTGTAATTGCAGCAAAGTTACAGTCCCTTCTATCAAGGAAATTTCAATCTACAGTGCAAGAGGGACAAGAACTAACAATTACAAAAGGCTGAGATGGCGCAACATAGTATTAGCCAACAACCAAAGCCTGCCTATTACCCAGAGTCCTGCCTTCCAACACCAGTTTCCCTGGCTTTCAGCCCCGTGGCCCACACCCGAGAGGCAGGCCTCGGCAAAGGTGAGGTCAAACCAAAGCCAGGGGTCAGGGGAGGGCGCTCAGCCTGGGGTTTCGGCAAAGAACAAGCCCAGCTCCTAGCGGGCCAGACTCTGATCTGAGAGGGATCGCCACCCTCTGCCCTTGGTGAACAGCAGCTGAGGCCCCGGACAGAGCTCCGCCCCTAAGCTGTCCTGTGCCTCACACAGCAGGGTCGGTGTCTGCACTGTGGGACCCAACGAGTGTTAGAAAGAGGGTTTCATGGGCCAACCTGCTGAACTGTGAGGCCCAATCTCCTGAAAATTTGCCCTTTATTCCCTCTACTCATCCTTCAATCCAGAGTCAATCTCATTGCTAGAGGATGGTTCTCTCTGGCTGAGCCTACACAGGACACTAAAAAGTCTCGACTCCTGGGCCTCTCCACAGAGCAAATGATACAAGACACCTGGGGCAGGCATGGCATCCAAATGTTTCAAAAGCTCACCTGGTGATTCTACAGCTGGCAGGTTTGAGAGAGACTCATCTGGGATGAGGAGGGAAGAGAAGGGGTTTAATCACGTGCCCACCATGGGCCGGGCGCTGTGCCAGCTCCTCGCATACAGTGTCTACAGCTATGGGTGCCCTGCCCATAGTTGTGTTCTTGGACTTGCTCTGGCCATAAGCATGTGGCCCCTCAGAGCAGCCCCCAACCTTGGAGGGAAGGGAGATGAGGAACAGATACCCCGTTGTCCTTATACCCCCTGGGTGGGGAAACTCTGAGGTACACTTTAAACAGTTTCTGTAAAAAGCCAGAGAGTTCCAATGTTCGGCTTTGTGGGCCACACAGCATTTGTCCCGACTGCTCTAATCAGCCTTTGCAGCGCAGAAGCAGCCGTGAGCAATCACCAATAATGGATTGGGCTGCATGCCAATAAAACTTGATTTACAAAGACAGACAGCGGGACACAGTTGGTCAACCCCTGCTCTATGTCTAAACAGAGTCCCAGAGGTTCCCAGGGAAAATGAGTTCCAGTGGACCGTGCCCTGCCAACAATGTGCTCCACAGGCTCCATTCCCCTACTGTGCACTTCGTGGGGTTGCTGGCCAGAGAAACTACTTGCACTCAGATTCTTGACTCAAAAAGCCTGCTTCTGGGGGTGCCCAACCAACGTCAGTGACTTATTTTATACACATAAATACTCAGCAGCTGAATACCACCAATCTCCGTTTTACAGAGAACAAACTGAGATTCAAGGACTACAAAACTCCTAAGGGACAGGGTCCAGATTAGAACTCTATTTGTCTCTGAGGTCAATGTTCTATTACCCAACCAAAGTAGGGTGGATGCAAACAGACAGACACATATAAATAAACACTTAATCCAATAATTTTAATTATGGTGAGCAAGAGTACCCCATATGGCAAATCTTAAAGCAAAATTTATACTACTCATGTTAAGGAAGGGGTTTAAAGAGAAATAGTAATATAAGCAGTAAGGTTTGAGGCTTATGAAAAAAAAACACTCTTTTCTTCTACACTGTTTCTAATCTAGGATAGATTCATTTCCCACTTATCAATTGGGTGCAATCCTGGTGCTCTCTCCTCTGGGGAAATCTTCAGTTCTACCTGGGAACAAATACAGCTGCTCAAGGCAAAGCCCAGTGTGTAATTTGGGATCTTTTATCCTCTTACACATGCTAACATGGGTAGGGGGACAGCATTTCTAAAGTCCCTTAAAGGCACATGTGGAGGTCCCCTGTGGATCCTAAAGAGCCCAGAGAATGCTTTCTGAACCCAGAGCTGGCACAGTTAGAAACCCATCTTTATAGCTTACGCTGTCTTGCCCTCGCTGTCCTGTTTGGTGGCACTGGCCCCCTTCTTGCCCAGCAGCGAAGCCACCTTCTCCGCGTCTCCATTCTCCACGGCCTGCAGCAGCCGGTCATCATTCTTGTTCCACTCGTTGGTCTGCGGAGCAAAGGGAGACGGGGCGTCAGTGAGCGGATGGCAGCTGCGACGGCCCTGCTGCCAGGCAGAGTCTCCATCCTTCCCTACTGTCGCTCAAAGCAACCTCTTCCCCAAATGGGCACTTTAAAAATACCTTGCCCTTTGCCATGGTGGCACTCAAGAAAGCTGGTTTCCCAAAAGGGAACATCAGCAGTTCAATGAGATAGCAGCCGGTCGCCAAACTCTTGAAATAAAATTAACTCGTTTGAACGGAAGTTGGAACGGACGATGAGGCAATTTACAAAGATCTCCAGGCTAGTTTACACATTAGCTTATTTCAAGCTAAACTCGACAGCTGGCCTCTCAGAACACTGGCCTTTGACCTCGCCCACAGCTCACTGGGCCCACAGTGTCACGGAACCAACAGCTCAAGGTTATCTGAGGGTTTATAATACATGTAATTCTTTGTCAGCTTTTATCACCACTCTTTCTGGCCTGCTCCCAGAGCACTGATTTTTGAGCTGTATACTGACTTTAAGTACTTGTCTAGGCTACCAAGCCCATAAAGTATCACCAGAAACAAAACTTCTTCCTGAGCAAGCTACTTACCATCAAAGAGCACTGAGCAAAGCCTCCCCTGCCCAACCCCACCCAGGCCCAACAGAGCAACTATGCGAACCACAGTGCCAGCGAAACTTTCATGGGCATACAAACTAGATTCTCCTCTTACAAAGGAGAGAGGGGATCTCTACATAAAACAAATGGGCCTCGAGTACAAAACTAAGAAGCTGCCAAAGTGGAAGGGCAGCAGTGAGCCACTGAAGGCTTTGGAGCAGGGGAATGAGAGCATAAAATCAGCAACTGAAGAAGTCATCAGAGGTGTAGGAAGTGTACAGGATTAATGAGGAAGAAAAGACCCTGGGACAGACATGTCAAAGCCCCTGGGTCACCTCTGCAGGCCCTGGGACACCTCCAGACTTTCCCTAGCGAAGCCACGACCCTGGGAGAGACTCCTCCTCACTCCCCAGACTTCCTACAGACAGGTCTCCAGGACTCTCTGCTTCCTTGAAATCTCCAACAAAGAACCTCTGAGCATTTTATATTAAAGGCTTTGCCGTGGGCAACTTTAGGGAGGCAGGCAGAAGAGATACTGGGGATTTAAAAGCTAACTAGAGGGAATTTTGCAGGACTACAGCCTTCCATGGCCCCAGAATGTTCCCAATCTCTCTGTACTTCTAGAACTGGCAAACCGATAGGAACCTGCCCTCTCACTGAGCAAGGGGTGGGTCTACCAGATGTCCCAGGCACCACTCCAACCCTAGCCTAGAGGCAGGGCTTTGGGAAAGCCACAGCACACAGGGTTGAAGTTAGGAACTGACTTCTCTGAGAGTCTCGGGACTGGCCCACTCCCATTTCTGAGGACTCTCTCTTCCCCCGTGGACACCACTGTGTGTACGAAGACAGGAAGAATGAAGTATGAGAAGTTTGAATGAAAATGAGAAGTTTGTCCTCTAGGCTGCATGAACTGGAAATCCAGAACTCTACATTGACACTTATGTGCTATGAATCTTAACTCACTCAAAACCTTTCTGTGTCTCAGATTCCCAAGGCTTTAGACAAGAATTCTGATCTCCCTAAAGCTCAAAAAACAATCTATAATAAATGACCCAAACCAAACATAGCTATAGATTTTAGTAGAACAGCACTGTCCGTGATAACAGAAACATTCTATATCTGCACTGTCCAAAACTGTGGCCACAAGGCAGTGGTTCTCAACCAGGAGCGATTCTTCCCCTCTGGGGACATTTGGCAGCCTCCACGGCAGTTGTGACTAGGGGGTGCTACCGGCACCTTGTAGGTAGAGGTCGGGGTGCCGCTAAACATCCTTCAGTGCACAGGACAGCCCCTGCTGCCCAACAGACAATCATCTGGCCCCAAATATCAAGACCACATTAGCCACCGGTAAGCCCTGGAAATGTGGCTAGTGCAACTGAGGGACTGAATTTTTAACCTGAATTTCTGACATCGGTGCAGCTGTTCAGGGCGGCTTTCCAAATGCTCTATTTACTTAAGTAAGAAGGTGTCTGGGCCAATGCCATCCACGCTCTCCTACATCAGCCAACTTACTCGCAAAGAAGACATTGGGATTTATCTTCAATTATAAATCCGGCTTCCTTCCTCCTGAAGGGGACGCAATAGATAGACCGCTTCAGGCACAAGCATTTGTTAGTACAATAGGACACTTTACCAATCAAAATGAGGCCAACACCAAGAAACAGGCTGCAGCTTATTTCCCCCAGACTGTGTTTTTACAAGCCAAAACAACCAACGAGTTTTATTAAAGTACACGTGGAACTCATGATTCCTACCTACATTATCCCAATGCCACATTATTAGTGCTGTCTTTTAAATCCTTTCTGAGCCAAATTAAAACTGGATTGGGAAGATCAAAAGGATATTAAATCGCAGAGGACATGACTGAAAGGATTTAAGCAAAGAAAGGCCACATGAAAGAATTTTCCTTTTCAGTGCCGTGCACTCAATTCTCGGGTAGAGAAATATCCAACTGCAGGGGTTCCCTAAAATTAGTTACATGTGGATATTTAGGGAGTTCAGTTTCTATAGGACAAAGCAAGAAACAGTCCCCTCTCTTCTACTTTTTGGAGGACAAGGTCAATGGCACATCCCTTGAGATCTAAAATTCTTCTCTTTTGCGGGGGCTCTCCTGTCCTCTCAGAGAAGATGAGGCAGAGAGAACATGCCCACCCCCACATGAAGATGTAATAAACAATCAGCAACAACTCTCTGGGCCAGGGGTGGGGTTCACAGGAAGCAGCAAGATAGAAAAGGATGCATGCTGTCCACGCTGGCTTTGGAGTCTGAGCCTAAAGGACAGTTCAGAACAAACTGGGAAGACAGGGGCAAACCCGAAGAAGATCCTATGGGAAAAACAGACCATCAGCTGGGAAATGAGGAGAAAAGGTAAGAGTTTTACTCCTACATTCTCATAAGTACTCTAAAAGCAGAGGCCAAAAAGGGGCCCAATTAAACCTCTACCCCAAGAATGCCGATTCTGGAGTGAGTCTTCTAAGACGGAATGACACTAGCAGTGTAATTAAGTAGAAACTCCATTTCTTTAACATAAACTTTCTCCTGTCTCTCTGTCCACTCCCTTCTTTAATCAATAAGCGCTTTGGACATCAGATTCTGGTCAGTATCAAACTGTCTTAAGAACAAAGTCTCAGGTGTGTTTCCACAGAAGCAGAGTTTCGGTCAAGCCGAAAATCTTGACTTCAGTTGTGTTTCAGCCCCAGACCCAGGAAGCTGAAGAGCCCTACAGACCACACTCATGAAACAGAGTAGTGCCATGCTGACATCGGGACCCGATACAATGATCAGCTGCTGCCTACCCTGGCCTCAACCAGTCAGCAGAGGCCATGACCGCAACTCCTGTAGCCATCACGATTAATGATTTTACCCTACACAGCCGATGCTCTGGAAGCCATCAGGGAGCCAAGTCTTTGAGCACTGGCCTACCTGGGACTCCGGGCTCGGTGCCAATTCCTCAACTGATAAAACTCTCTTTGCTGCAAACTCCTGTTTGCGTTTGATTGAGCGTGGAGGCAGCCAGCTGAATGGACCCCTTGAGTCTGGTAATAGCATTCAACAGATGCTCTGGTCCTGGGCCATGCACAGCTGACCTCGCCATGTTTCAAGATGATCTTCTTCCCGTAAACCTGCCCACGGAGATACTCCCTATATTTTCTTCTATAAAACCATTCCATCCAGTACCACATTCTATACTAAAAAAAATCCATAGCTAATCACAAGATGAGACAGAACAGGTATCTCTTTAATGTCATTGCTCTTGAGAATCCAGAAGCAAATCTCTCTCCTCTACCTCCATTCCCCTGCTGAGTGGTACTACACTGAAATGAAGCATCAAAAGGAATCTTTAAAAGCTGTATCTTGGCCAATCTACTGTCGAAAGGTAGCATCGGCGAGATAAATAAGTTGTGATATTGTGATTTCATAAGAAATATATGTTTGGTCTTTGTTCCTGGTTCATAGTACAGAGCTCCTAAAACCTATGGAGTTTTCTGAGTGATGGGCCTAACCGAGCATCTTTTAAAAAAAATTCATAATAGGCTTCTTTCAACCTTATCTAAGTTTATATTAATGGGGTGACTGGTGAGTAGAAGCCCTTAAATGGCTTTAGGTTGGGGGCTGGTTGTCAGAGGAAACAACCACCCATGTCATTAAAGGGCTAGAACTTTCAGGCCCCCGCCCCCCACCTCCAGGGCGGAAAGAGGGTCTGGAGATTGAGTCAATCACCCATGGCCATTGATTCCGTCAACCATGCTTATGTAATGGCGCCTTCATCGAATCCCCTAAGCCTCTCCTAAACTGCAGGGTTCGGAGAGCTTCTAGGTGGATGCACACATCAAGCTGCTGGGAAGGTGATGCAGGACAGGGCGTGGACATGGATGGACACACACACACACACACACACACACACAAGCACACGCACACTCTCTTTGTCCTATACGTTTCTTCCATTTGGCTGTTCCTGAGTTGTACACTTCACAATAAACTGGCGATAATAAGTAAAGTGCCTTCATGAATCCTATGAGCTGTTCCAGCACATTATTGAAACTGAGGAGGAGGTTGTTGGGAACCCCGACTTTATAGCTGATTGGTCCTAAGTAGGGCTGGTCACAAGGATGTCCAACCTGTGGCCTGCGGGCTACATGCCGCTTGGGATTGCTATGAATGTGACCCAACAGAAATCGTAAATTTACTTACACCATTAGGAAATTTGTGTGTGTGATTATGTGTCTCAATGTATTTAACGTGTGGCCCAAGACAACTCTTCTTCTTCCAGGGTGACCCAGAGATGCCAAAAGGTTGGACACCCCTGGCACTTGCAATGGGTGTCTGACCTGGGGGCAGCCCGGTAGGACTGAGCCTTTATCTGCTGGGATCTGCCTCTAACTCTAGGGAGTTACTGCCAGAAGTGA